ATCAGCTGCTGTTTTTGCTGCACAAAAAGCCATTCTTAGATAGATCCTGATCACAGGTTGTGCAAATGACCCTCAACACACACACATACACACACACACACACACACACACACACACACACACACACACAAATTTGCCAGAGAAACATCGCAGTCAGACTGAGGAAACCATCTGTTCCCCTCACCACCCCATCCCCCCACCCCACACACACAAAATCGCTCTCACACCTCTTTCTCACTTTCTCTCACTCGCTTTCCCCCAGACTCCATCTATCCATTGATATGAGACAAAAACATTAAGATTCCATCATCATCATCATCATCACACAAAACACCTGACAGACAGACAGACAGACGATAGATAGATAGATAGATAGATATAGACAGAACGAACGAACGAACGATAGATAGATAGATAGATAGATAGATAGATAGATAGAAAAAACGAATGAATGAACAAACGATAGATAGATAGATGATAGATAGACAGATAGATAGATAGATAGAATGAATGAATGAACAAACGATAGATAGATAGATGATAGATAGATAGATAGATAGATAGAGAGATAGATGATAGATCGATAGATAGATAGAACGACAGAATGAACGAACGAACGATAGATAGATAGATGATAGATAGACAGATAGATAGATAGATAGAGAGATAGATGATAGATCGATAGATAGATAGAACGACAGAATGAACGAACGAACGATAGATAGATAGATGATAGATAGACAGATAGATAGATAGATAGAGAGATAGATGATAGATCGATAGATAGATAGAACGACAGAATGAACGAACGAACGATAGATAGATAGATGATAGATAGACAGATAGATAGATAGATAGAGAGATAGATGATAGATCGATAGATAGATAGAACGACAGAATGAACGAACGAACGATAGATAGATAGATGATAGATAGACAGATAGATAGATAGATAGAGAGATAGATGATAGATCGATAGATAGATAGAACGACAGAATGAACGAACGAACGATAGATAGATAGATGATAGATAGACAGATAGATAGATAGATAGAGAGATAGATGATAGATCGATAGATAGATAGAACGACAGAATGAACGAACGAACGATAGATAGATAGATGATAGATAGACAGATAGATAGATAGATAGAGAGATAGATGATAGATCGATAGATAGATAGAACGACAGAATGAACGAACGAACGATAGATAGATAGATGATAGATAGACAGATAGATAGATAGATAGAGAGATAGATGATAGATCGATAGATAGATAGAACGACAGAATGAACGAACGAACGATAGATAGATAGATGATAGATAGACAGATAGATAGATAGATAGAGAGATAGATGATAGATCGATAGATAGATAGAACGACAGAATGAACGAACGAACGATAGATAGATAGATAGATAGAGATAGATAGATAGATAGATCGATAGATAGATAGAACGACAGAACGAACGATAGATAGATAGATAGATAGATAGATAGATAGATAGATAGATAGATAGATAGAACGACAGAACGAACGAACGAACGATAGATAGATAGATAGAAAGAACGACAGAACGAACGATAGAAAGATAGATAGAGATAGATAGATAGATAGATAGATAGATGGTTGGATGAATAGATGTAGGTGGGGGGGAGTGAATGTACAGTGCTCTCTTCCAGCCTCAATAGCACGACTGAGATGAGACCCTTGAGCAAGAACTGAACCCCCAACTGCTCCCCAGGCTGCCCACTGCTCCGGGTGTGTGTTCACGGTGTGTGTGTGTGTGTGTGTGTGTGTGTGTACTTGGATGGGTGAAATGCAGAGCACAAATTCTGAGTACGGGACACCACACTCGGCTCACGTCACCAAATCATCCAGAATGAAGTGTTTTGAAAATCTAAAAGTTTTGTGTGAGGGGTAGGATTAAGGTAAAGGGACAGAAAATACAGTTTGTACAGTATAAAAACCATTATGTCTATGGAATGTCCCCACAAAATATGTGTGTGAGAGTAGAGGTTGTTTTCAGCTGAAGGTGGGTGGTATCAGTGTGTGTACCTGAGAAAGTCTCACAATAACCTTGTCCTAATTACATTCTGCAGTGCTGCTTTTGCCCTATTTCCACAGCTCTCTCTCACACACAAACATTAACACATCAATAATACACAGTTACCTGAGGACGCCACACGCTTACAGCTACATCTGTAAAACATTCACAGACAATCAGATCATATTTGATATTTCGTATACATTCACACGAGCGAGAACAACGCAAGCTGAAGTAATCGTGTGGCCAAAGCAACGCCACTGAAATTAGAAAGCAAGTGACCAATAACCTGTGCTGGTTTAAGACAAAAACTCATTAACACACAGATTTTATCGCTAACCGCAGTGCGCCTGGTAAGAACACGGTGTCAGAGACGGTCAAATGTGTTATTAGCTCATCTTCATTTGAGCTCATCTTCATGTGTTATTAGCTTATCTACTTCAAGTGAAGC